TTTCTCTCACTCTCTCTCATAAAGCCATCAGTCAATTATGGGGGATCCACCTTAATGAATTTATCTAATCATAATCACTTCCCTGAAGTTCCCATCTCTAAATACCATATTAATACCTCACAATGGGGATTAAATTTCAACCCAAGATGACTTGGAAGACATACAACATCTGAACAATAGCACCATCCTATCAAATCTAAGGTGATATTATAGTTTTGGTTTGCATTTCTCAGATTAGTGATCATATCAAACACCTTTTCCTATATCTATGGGCCATTTATATATACTTCTTTTGAAAAATCCTCATCAGATCCTTTGCCCATGTTTAAGTGGGCTATTTGGAGGTCATTTTGCTGTTGTATGAGTTCCTTCTATTTTGGATATTAACTCCTACTGTATATTTGATGTTATGGCTTGGATATGAGCTGTCCCCCAGAAGCTCCTGTATGGATGCTGGAAAGTTTGGAGGGGAAGTGATTAGATTATGACGTCTAATCAGTCCATCTGAACGGACTAACTGGGTGGTAACTGTCGGCAGGTGGGACATGGCTGGAGAAGGTGGGTCACTGGGGGGTTGCCCTGAAAGGACATCTTCTGCAGCTCCTTCCCCTGACCCCCACTTTCTGGCTTCCACGATTGGAGCCCTGATCCTTTATCATGCCCTTCGGCCATAATGTCCTACCTCACTTGGAGCCAAGGGCAATGGAGTTGGCTAACCACAGACTAAACCTCTCAACCCACAAGCCAAAATAAAGCTTTCCTCCTCCAAGTTGTTCTTGTTGGGTATTTTGGTCACACTCACAAAAAAGCTGACAGATGGTTTGCAAATATGGGCTCTCATTCCATAGGTTGCCATTTCATTTTGTTAATTGTCCATTGTCATGTGGACATTTTTTAGTTTGATGTCGTTTCATTTATTTTGGCTTTTGTTGTCTATTATCTTGGTTCATACCCAAAATATCATTGCCAAGGTCAATTCATGGAACTTTTCCCCTGTTTTCTTCAAGCAGTTTTATGGTTCAGGTTTTACATTTAAGTTTAATCCATTCTGAGTTATGTTTTGTATATGACCTAAGATAAGGATCTAACTTTTTGCAGGTCAATATCCAGTCTTCCCAGTGACATTTATCAAAAAAAAAAAAAAACCTACCCTTTTTGAATATCCTTTGGGGCCTTGTTGAACAATTGTTGGTCCATACATGTATGGATTCATTTCTGGGCTTTCTGTTCTGTTCCACTGGTCTCTTAAGTTTCTAAACCAGCATCATACTGTTTTGATTACAGTAGTTTTATAATATAATTTGAAATCAGGAAGTGTGATGTTTCCATATTTATTCTTCTGACGTAAGATTGCTTCAGCTATTCAGGGTATCGTGTGTTTCCATATAATTCAAATATTGTTGGTTTTTTATTTCTGTGAAAAACAACATGAAATTCTTTTAAGGATCTTATTGATTCCACAGACTATTTGTAGCATGGTCATTCTGACCATATTCATTCTACTCATACCCATGGACGTGGGTATCTTTCCATTTATT